CGCATGACTATATATATTATTGTAACTATATAATATAGTTATAATTTATTATAACTATATAATATATATACAGTAAAAAGTGTTTATTTGTGGGTTTTTAAACAGAGAAAAAATAATTATTTGTGGGTTTATCATGGAATTGTGAAGTAAATTCTATTCAACATTTTTTCCATTAAAAATCAGTGTTATAGAAAATATAGTAGTTTTTTTAATTATAATAAAACTATATTATTTATCTAAGTGTACTTAAATTCAAGGTTCAAGAGCAAAATAATTATTTGTGGGTTTTGCATTTGATTGGTCTATTGACCCACAAATAGACGTACAGAAGGCTGAAAAATCACTTGACAAAGAAAAAAGGGATGACAAAATTCTATTTTTAAATTTTAGAGTATTTTTTATTAAGGTTTGAGAACCATCATTAGGGGATTTTGTTTACATTTCTCGAATAAATTAATTCATTTGTTTTACCATAAACTTGGTTTTGCTATAAGTAGGAATGTGAGTAATAATTATAACAGGAATGCTTGACCTTAAAAACATAAAAATTATTTGAAAAAAAGCATAAAAAGAATTGTTATCCGATAAAAACTGTTGTTTTATACTCTCTTTTCAGACATGATATCGACAGAGCTTGAGATATCATGTCTCTTCAGTTCATAACCGAATAATTGGAATTTGAAATGTGTTCAAAACTCCCAAAAAATGGAGTGAAAAACCAAGCCAAGATGGAGAAGAAAATTATGAAAGTCACAGAATAAATAAAACCAAAGCAACAAAGAAGTCACAATTACCAAAAAGGCTGTTTAGAATGCCTAAAATGTCCTTCTGTGTTTTGTGAAGATGCATAAACATGATTGTTTCCACTTTATAAAGTGAAAGCTTTGTGACATTAAGAGCACTTACCGTGCTTTTAAAAACACACATAAAATTGTTTAATTGAGAGTTTTGTGCATTTTCTAACATATTTTCAAATGCAGCAATCATCAAACGACTCTTTGCTCCACCCGATAAAATAGCGACAGTTACTGTATCTGATTTGTAAAGGAAGAGTAAGAAAGCTTTTTTCTTCAATTGAAACTTCGGTGTTGGTCAGTCATATCAATGAATTGTTATAGCAAATCGAGTTATCGGGAAACTCGGGGTAACACATTCCATTCTAAAAATTTAAATTGCCAGTATTTGTGACAACTTCCATGTATTATACCATGGAGATCACCAAGTCTACGGCAGTAACATTGACGCGCTTCACTAGAGTCTCGAGCCTTTCAAACTCACAATTGGCGAATTGGAGGAGATCCAGAACTGAATTGTTCGAAAAGACGTTTCTTAATCGAGTTCAGTTCCATTTTTTGTTTTTGGAAAAATAAAACGCTGTTTTTAGTCTTTGTCAAGTAATTTCTAATTATAAAAATAGAATGAGTGGTAATTCCCGAAAAAATAAACCTAAAACAACTAACCAAAAATCGTTAATTGGGCGTTTTGGCCAATCATCTTTCTGTCAATCAATTTATTCTTTGTCAAGTAATTATTCTGCCTCCTGTAACCCACAAACACAAAAACCCACAAAAAGACACTTTTTACTGTATATATTTTTTTACTGAAAAAACAATTAACAAAATCAATTTGATAATAATAATTAACATAATATAAGTATGTTTGTATTAAATTAAGTATTATTGATATATCATATATTATAATCAATAATGAAATAATTATAATTAATATCATTAACCGAATTTTTACTTCCCCTTTCGAGAGGTTCCTTTTTTTCCTTTGAATGAAAAAACTCTTCTGAGTCTAGACGTACTTGGACTTGGTTCTTCTTCTTCTTGTTTTTGTTCAGTTTGACCGTGTGCTTGTTCCAAGGTTTTAGTTTTTTCAAAGAATCTCTCTTGATAAATTATATAGACTTGCTGATTAGTAGGCATTTCTTTGAGTCCACGATTTAAATCCAAAATAATGTTTTTGATTAACTTTTTTGTTTGTTTTAATTGTTGTAAAAATCTGAATAAAGGTATTAATTTGACTTCTGAAACCATTTCAAGATCATACCCCAAAAAAACTCCTAAGCCATTCTAAACATTGGCCTAATTTGGTTTTAACTTCAAAGTCTGGGGAATCTGGTGTTAATTCAATTGCTTTTATTTTCTTGATTTCATTAAACCAATTACTCAACACTTTCATTATGATATTTGGGTAACTCCCTTCTTTTAGAATATCATAAAATCTTCTGATAAATACAATAAATTTTGATTCGGAATAAGGTTTATCTTCAATGTATTTTGACACTAAATCAAGTTTTTCATTTTCTTTTTCCCAAAGAGTCTCCAGATTTCTTTTAAAATTGCTGTGCTCGACTAGATTGTATATTACTAAAAAATTGATGAGAAACTTTATATGTAATATAGAATTTCTATTTTCATCTTTGTGGGAAGTTAATAAACCAGCAACTCTCTCTAATTGTTCAGTGGTCGGAGAAGCATCAACCAGAAAAAAATTCAATATAAATATAATTGATAATAAATATGACAACATTAATAAGTAAATGGGTTTTAATTAAATAAGTTATATTTTTTGGTCATTAAACACATTATTAAAAACAACAAATATATAAGAAAATAAAAGTTATAATTAACTAATTCTTTAAAAAACATATCCTCAAAAGTAGTATGGAAACAAAATATTGTTTTTTTTTCGAAAAAAATATAATATTAATAAATCTGTTATGTAATAAATTTATAATATATATAAATAAAAGTATTATTTTTATTTTAAGTTGTAAAATTTCGTAATTTTTTGATAAAAAAGTCAAAAAAGTCAAAAAATCTGTCATGGTTGTTATTGGTTAATGTTAATTTATTAAAATAAAAATAACAATTGATTGTGTCAAAGTGTCAATCAATGTTTGTTTAATAAAAGTAAACATTGCCGCAACATAGAAAAATGTTAAATTTCTAAAATAAAACGTTTGATTTATAAACATTTTTGGCACTTTTTAATTACTTTAATTTTATTAAATATGAAAACCTTTATTTTTTTGTTCAGAATAAACAATTTCAAAACATTAAATTAAACAAAAAATATCAATATGAGTTTAATACAGATCAAAAAAATAAAATGTTTATTGATAATAATGTAAACATTAACACATATATTTAATACTTTTGTATATACTTGTTTTAATAAAAAAATAAATCTGTTTTCGAAAGATAAACTAATTGTTGATATATTATGATTAAAATTGTATAATGTTGACAAAGTAGTTAAAAGTATAACACAATTACTCATTATTTATATTGATATCAGTTTTTACTAATTTAAAAAAATTAAATAGTTTATTTGTTTATTAAATATACAATTATAAATAAAATGTTAATAAGATTTTCTTCTAAAACCTTTAATTTTTTTCTATAAAAACGAATTTAATAATTTTATTAACTTTACAACTCAAATTAAAATAACTTTTGGTTATTTATTATAAAAAGTATTTTTATTTCAAAAATACCAATTTTCAAAACACTAACAATTTTGTTTAATTGTCATGTTTCGTTTTTATCTTCCACTTGCTTCTCTGTATTGTCTTGCATAATTTTCTTGTTTTCTTTCGTTTGCACCAAACAATTCCAAAGCTTCTTCGTTAATCTTTTTCGTTTCATCAAGATAAAACCTCAGTCTATCAATTGCATCTTTCAGTCTTTGATTTCCAAAGTATCCCGGGTTTCTCCATAAATCCATTAATATTTTAAGAAGCGATAAATATAATGATTTAGGTATTAAAAATTCTTGAGTAAAAATCACTTTTTGATCTCTTGTTAATTTTGAATCTTTGACTTTTTGCATCATTCCTAACATGTTAACATTTAAAAACCAATGTGGAGTTCTTGAATTTACTGGATAGAATGTGATAGTTATCAACTCTGAAAGTTTAACCATATCATTTGAACTAAATCCGCCACGTCCTTTGATAAGTTCAATTAATTTCAAAATGGCCTTTTCTGCTGCTAAACTCGTCTCAACCGATCTTAAAAAACGTGGGACCAATATGTCTTTGTAATACTTTAAGTGACTAATAAGTTTTCTCAAAATTTCAATATAATTCAGTGATTTATCAATAAACATATCAACATCACGTTGTAGATCACCTGTTAGAGGAAGAAATATTTGACCATTTAAATTTAATGGTTGCTCAAAATCTGAATATGCGTTCGAAGTATATAATAAAACAGTGATTAAAAAGAAATACATTCGATTAAGACGAAGAGAAAGTATGATAAATTAGATTAACAACATTTTTATAACGTTAAGAACAGACCACATTTGTTTAAATTTAATATACTTCAATTGTAATTTCCCGATCAAAAATAGATCGTTGTTAACTTCAAAATTAAATTATACACAATTTAAATAATTTTATGTAAAAGGTTATATTTTTGTTGATCTAAAAATATTTATTTGTTTTGAAAAAGTTACAAAAAAATATTTATATTTAAATAAATATTGTTTTCAATTGACCATTTTAAAAATAATTTGGAAGTCAAGAAATGGACCATTCTATATGCTTGATAATAATTAATCAAATTAAATTATTCAACCAATAAACAATTTAAATATTATAATAATAAAACATTTGAAAAAAGAACGTTTTTAAAAATACAAAATTTGTTATTTGAAAAGTCAACCACAATCTATTTATTTAATTGGTTCAAATAATATCAAAATAAAAAGTATAATACTTATTATAATAAAGGCTGAATATGTTTTATGTCAATTATTATTTTCTAAATGGTAATTTGTATTAATTTTTAAATATTTTTTATTAATTTTTATTATTTCAACTCAATTTTAATAACAAAATATTTTAAAAATTAAACACATTTAAATATTTATTATGTTTGTCTAAATAACATTTGTTAATAATTTTTACCAATTTTAATACATTACTTAAAATATATTTTTTATAATATGAATATTTTACAAATTTAAAAATAATTTCAATTTGAATATATTTATTTAAATACAAACATTGTCAATAATTGTTAGTTTTGACAAATTAATAAAATTTATTTAATTTCAAAAAATGGTACAAAATAACCTCAAATTAACAGCACAATTGATTTTTTTTTGTTTACATTGAATTTTTATTTTTTTACAATTCATTTTAAAGATTTAATTAAATGTTTTTACTTTTCTTACTTGTTGCTTTGTTTGTATTGTGCATTGGAGATTTTGAACAACCCAATAAAAATCAAAAAGATGATGCAGAAGATATAAGTAATGATGCAAAAAGACTAATACTTTCATTAAATGAACAAAGTGAAGTTTGGTTATTTATGTTGCAAATGACTGATAATCGATTTAAAAGAATTAAAGAAATAAAGGACGAACAACTTTCATCGAATATTCAATCCATTCTTTCGAGTGAAAATTCCTTTTTGGATTTTTTGGAAGTTTCATATCAGAACAAAAAGTTCACTTTTGATACTGTTGAGTCGATAGCTCAAAAACTTTACGAGTCGTTTTCCACACAAAGTCCCCGATTATTTATTCTTAAGAATTTAAACTCCATTTATTTCAGAATTGAACATTCAAATCTTAAAGAAGATACCAAAACATCTTTGATGCTACAACTGTTTATTCCTATTGACTTCTATTTTACACAATTAATGATTGTGAAGAAATTAACAAAAAAGAAGAAGTTTAAACGAATTGACACGCTTTTAAAAGCTTATGAATTAATGAAAACATATTACAATGAAGCAGTAAAAATAACAGAGAAGTTATCAGATGATTACAAAGTTGATGAGTCAATGCAGCAAGCGATGTATGAAAAATACAAAACCAAAAATATTCAACGAAAAAGAGCACCAATACACAGAGGAAGACGACGGAACCTCATCCCCAAACACCACACTTTTCACACAATTTGATTCTTTTACAATTACAATGTTTTTATTTCTATTTTTAAAACAAAAAACAGTTTACATCAAATACTTATTCATCCAACTCTTTACAATTTCTCGTGATTTCCTCCATCATTTCTTTTCGAATATTTTCCTTCATTTCTTTGAGTATTTCTTCTTTGATTTTATCCTTCTGTTTATTAACGAGTTCGACCACCAATTTTTGGAGTTTTTTGTATTGATCTTTTGTAAGTAATTCATTCACTTTATCTTTCCTTTCCTTTTCCTTTTGGATATTATAATTCAATTTAAATGGGCAATTCGTCGCGTTATGTTCCTCATCTCCACATACAAAGCATTTCTTTTCCTCCATTTGGTCATCTTCCCTTCGAGTCTTTTTATCATCATTTTCTCTTTGTTCCTTCCCATCACTTTCAAGATGTTCATTCAAACAGTTTAAGAGAACATTTTTATCGCTATTGGAGTTCATCACTCTCTTCAACTCATCGACTTGCATTGACTTTGCTGGGATGCTAAAGACCCAATTCTTGTTCCCGAAGCTTTTACTCATGCTGAGTATCTTTTCTACTGTTTTCATGTCCTTCACTATGACGTACTTCTTATTTGGTTTCACAACAATAGGTTGGTACAAAAGACGGACATCGACTATTCCATAATCAATGAAGAGCTTTTTGAACTCGTCCGTTGTTGTGTCCTTTGGGATGCCATAGAACTTAATGAACTTCTTCACCGACTGTAATTCGTCGATTTTAAATGAAATAGAAACACCTTTAAACATCAACTTTTTAAATTTTTGAATGACTCGTTGCGCGTCCCCTTTCGTCTTAAACTCGCATATGTACCCATTCGTTGGCGTGAGAATGCCAGCACCATCCCCAGCATATAACGGATCAAATTCTTTGAATTCTAATAAAAACTGTTCGTCGGATACGTCGTCTTGAAAAACATCAACAACAATCTGTGCGCACATGTGTTTTTAATAAAGTGGGTTAAAAAATAGTTAAATAATAGGGTTCTATCAAATTGGTAAAATAATAGTACCGTCACGTTTAACCGGGTTTTTTTATTTTTATTTTTATTTTTATTTTTATTTTTATTTTTATTTTTATTTTTATTTTTATTTTTTTATTTTTATTTTTTCATTTTTAGCTTTTTTGATATAATAAATTTGGATCTATTATTTTGTATTTATTTATTAATAATATTGGCAATTATAATTAATAGTACTATGACTTTTGGAAATACAACATTAAATAGAACTATATTATATAATAAATGTATATATATTGTATAATAAGTATTATTTTTAATTAATTATTAATAAACTTACTATAGTTTAAAATAATTATACTTAACTATAAATAATTACGACAATTATTATAGCAAAATATTTATTGATAATAAACATTATTGATAATTTAAATGTTTTAATTGTGTTTAATAGGTCAATTATTTAAGAATCTTACGAATTTAATATTCGATAATTGATAAATGTGTGGTTTCTTAAATTGAAGTTTGCAATTATATGATATGATAAAATAAACTATATAATACAGTCCAAATCTTATTTTTACAAATCTGTCGTTAAATTATTTCAATTACAAACAAAATCATGTTTTTCTTGTTTTATAAAACAAGAAGAACTTTTGAATATTATAAATGAATAAAAGTTATTTGTGTTTACTTTGTTTCTTCTACATCATACCCACTTTATCATTTCTTCGTGTTCAGAATGGTAAATACTTTGACACACAAACAAAACAAGAATTTTATATCAAAGGGATTTCGATGAGTAACCACATCGAGTCATACACCAATACGACTGTTGGAATAATACCCGAACACACACCAGAGGCCTACAAGGATATTTCCTCAATGGGGTTCAATACAGTCCGGATGTATTTGCATTATTTAATGTTTGAGAGTGACACCTTACCGTATCAATACAAAGAGAGTGGGTTTGCTTGGCTCGACACTGAAATAGCTGAAGCAAAGAAGAATAATATTCGACTTCTTCTTAACTTCCATATTCCACAAGGGGGGTATCTTTCTAAATGTGCAGGCACTCTCTTTGACAACAAAAACGATGAACAGAATCGCCTAATAGCCCTTTGGAGATATATAGCGAAAAGGTATAATAATGAAGAAGGTGTAGCCGGGTATGATCCTGTTAATGAACCTTGTTTGAGGTTCAATCAAACAGAAGAGAATACATATGAAGAGTTGAATACCTTCTACTCCAAGTTAATAAAGACCATTCGAGAAGTCGATAACCACCACATGTTGTCTTTAGAACCGTCTAAGAGATATACAAAAAATGGTGTAATGTACACTATAGAAAATTGGAAGAACTTATTTAAAGCAGAAGATAATAACTGGAACATCCAATATCACGATTACACCCCAGGGTGGTACACTTTTCAGGGGATGACAGGTAATCCAATGAATGACGAGTATTATTGGCCAAATAGTCACATTTTGTTATATGGAGGGAAGGACGTCTATGCATACACAATAAGAAAAGAAGTTGCTGATATCACCACAAGTATTTGGGTACAAAAGAAGATCTATTGGAATGCCAAAGACACTGAATTTGTCAGGAACACGTATTGGGTCGCTTTAAAATTTGTGAATGGAATTAACACATGCGTGACTGTTGATAACATCAAAATCAATGATTACTTCAGTAATAATACAATAGACTATACCTGGCAATTCAATTTTGATAAGGAAAGTACAAATGCAACATTTAAAGTCTTTTCGAGTACTGATAATAACAATAACTTATTATATGGTAATTATGGTGTAGATAACACTTTCGGATGGAAAATGACAATCAATGGAAATGCTACGATTGTTCTCGATCATCCATTCTTACCTATTGAGGGTCATATTTATGTCATTACTATGGACTTAAAAATAGTGAGCGCAACAAATGAAGTTGCTTTTATTGTTGATGTCCATAACAACAGTTGGGCGTATGGTGCTGGATATGAAGAGTTGGATATATCAACAAAGTCTATTCAAACACTTGAAGCTTTCTTTGGTGTTCCAGTCTTTATTGGGGAGTTCGGAGCCAATTTCAGAATGTTTGAAAACAACAAAGGAGGCGAAAATTGGGTCACAGATATTATTGAAACTTTTGTGAAGTATAAATTGAGTTATAACTATCACACATATCACGAACAATGCTTTGGACTGTATAACACGTCAAAGACATTGGCACCTGGTGAGGGAAGAATGGAATTGCTATATAATGCATTTATGGAGTCTGTTAAGGAAACACCTGTACTAGATGGGGTATATAATGACTCTGATTGGTATGATAATGAATCTGGGTGTTCGGGAATCATTATCATCACATTTGCTATCATTTTCTTAATTTATTAAGTTTTAATTATTTCAATGATTTTCGTTGTTTGTTTATATAAAGTAAATTACACATCTACATTATATTAAAATAAATAATAAACAAGAAACCTTAAATTAATTCACATACAACAATTACATTGTCAAATTTAGATTGTTTTAAAATGTGACAATGTTTTTTTAATAATTTTTAAAACCTTTTTAATTTTTGTTTCCCTTTATTTACTATTACAAATATTTTAATTTAAAATTATCAAAAATATAATTTAGAAGCTAGAAATGTAAAAAACAAACTTATTTAATGAAGTTTTGGTATTGCTCAAATCGGATTTAATGAAACTTTTGTATAAATGATGACTCTCATCAGAGAAAGAACTAAACTAAATATTTATTCTATAATAAGAGAATAATGTATTGAGTAATTAAAAGTGTAGTATATTAATAATCTAATAAATTTATATAGATTAATTATTTTTTGATTTACTAAAAATATTTCATAAATATACTAAAGTAAATTAGTACTTTTAAAAAATGTTAATTACAATTTAATTAATATTGTAATTTTGCCTAAAAAAGTGATGTATGATCTTTCAAACTATTTTAATTCCAGAAATGGGTTCTGTGTTTTCATGTCAATTAAACGTAAATTATAATTGGACTGTTTATGTCATTGGTTCTCCACAAAGCGGTAAACAAACTTTAATTGACAAAATGGCGATTCAAACAAATCCAAATGGTTTGAAAGGATTTTCGTTTGAATTAGGTGGGGCTATGAACTACTTTACATTTGAAAAATACGGAAATGCAGCACAATTTTTGGTGGTTCCAGAATTTTCAAAAATAGTGGAAGTTTTCATAATTGACTTATCCAATCGAGAGTCTCTCAATTTTGCTGAAACCACGTATAAAACACTTAGAAACAACGCAAGTTATACTGTGAAGTCTTTAGTTGTGTTTACTAAAGGGGATCTTCATAGAGAAGTGACTGAAGAAGACATCGAAATTTTTAAAATGAAAGTTCATCAAGAAAAGACTTTTATTTTTGTAAACACAAACGAAATGGGTGATTTCTTGGAGTTTTTTGAAAAGGAAATTACATTGGCATTTCAAATACAATAAAAATTTAATTAATTATTATTATTTTTAATCGAAATATAGAGCCGTAGTTCTTTTATAGGATAATACAGTCAAAGTTGCTTATTTGTAGGTTTTGCTTATTTGTGGGTTAACTGACCAATCCAAACCAAAACATACAAATAGGTTGTATCTTCTCGAAACTGAATAATTAATTGGAATCAATTAAAAACTATATTTTTGAGTGTATCTGAAACATAAACTCAAATGGAATAAGACTTCTTTTGTATTTTTTTAACTTATTTAATCTAATTATTTTAAGTTTTTGTTAAAATGGTTTCAATATTTTATAATTGTTTTTATATTTTATTAAAAAAATACTATAATTAATAATAATTTTTTGATTGATAATTACATATGTGGTACTTAGGTTTCGACTAATAATTAATAATTATGATACCATTGTATAAATTAAATATAAGAGTTATATTTGGACGATTTTTTGAAAATAATTAAGAACCTTGTTCAATATTATTCAAATAGTATTCAAATAATTAAACGAAACCTTAGTATTCGTCGAAACTTTAATCTCATATCTTTAATTATATTAATTCAGTCTTAAAACGGTAATAGTAAATTTTTGGACCATTAAAACTGGAATATTACGGGAAACTGTTGAAAAATCTCCAAAAACACTATTTTTGATTTTATTTAGTTTTACAACTTTTTTTTAATTTCTATTTTTTAAGGCTTATTTTGTGTATTTATTTTGTCAAGTGGACAACAATTTACAAACAGACTTAGTAAAAGACTTAAAAATTTCAATTATGGTTATTTTTATTATTTTTGATAATTATAATAAATCAAATAATGTTCTTCCCAATTCTTAGCAAACCCTACAAATAGACAGCTTTTTATGCAAGAAAACCCACAAATAAGCGACTTTGACTGTATATAAAAATAATTTAATTGGACAAAACAACTAAGGAGAGCTTATTCAAAGATGGATTTTCAAGTAAAAAACTATTTTTATCAATTAACTAATTATAGTTTTTTTTGAATTTAGCTGTCATTTGACAGGCTGAATCTTTTACAGTTTTAATGTTAACAAATAATCATATAATTACTTTAATTTCAAAAAGAGACACGATGACCTCAACAAATGTACCAATATGGTTTGACGATCAGAAAAATATACTAGACTTGTTTTTAAATAAAAACAAAAAAACAAAAGAAACCAAACACACCAAACACATAATTATTGACTATTAAACATCGAAGAAGCCAACGCTTAGACGCAACTCAACTTTGGTTAACACTGAAACAAAACAAAGAAAGCGGGAAGGCCAAAAATAAACAAAGTTTAAAGACAAACAACCCAATCTAACAAGGAACAAAAAGAAGTTGTTGGTTTCAAATCTTATTACAATTCAAATACACAATTATTATTTGATTTAGTTGATGGTAATGGTGATTTAAAAATGGAAGTTAATGAAAACACTATTGTTTCAACTGGAATGAGTCAAT